TGCCCGTGGTCGATAGAGAACTGCCTGCAACCGTTCCTTGATCAATGCTGGCAATCGTGAGCTGTTCCTATCCAGCAGAGAGCTGGTGGGACGCCGTCGAATCCATTGTGGCTTGAGTTAGCTAGTAGAGAGTTAGCTTGAGGGGTGGTGCCTAGTGTGTGCTCGGCGTGTGTGTGCGCAGACTGGTCTTGGTTCAGTAGAGCTTACCACGTTTCAGGCTGTCAGCAGACCTGAGCCGAGCACCCTTCTTTGTGCGAATTGAGTGCATGGTTACACTATGTTACCTATGCCTATGTACACTGTATTATTACAAATAAAAATATTTTGACCTTTGCAACCTAGCTACCTTGCGATTTCATTTTCACATTCTTGGAGCATCTTGTTTTCCTCTCGTAGTTACAACATAGGAATTTTATCTTTCATTCCTCTATCTCTCATGCCTTAAACTCAGCCATGCCTACTTTTGTGGCACTCGATGAGGACTGCAGAGCGTCGCAACGTTTGGTGCAAAAAAGTTTCTGACTGTTTTGTAGATAGATTCTAGAGAATGCAATATCCCCTGTCAACTCAAGTGTAACTTACAAAGATAGACTAAGGGAAAGGGAGAGAGAGATAGAGAGAGAAAGAGAGAGAGGAGATGAGAGATATAGATCGAGATATATAGATTGGCGGGCTCTCTCTCTCCTCTCTCTCTCTCTCTCTCTCTCTCTCTCGGTCTCCTCTCTATCGTCTCTCTCTCTCTCTCTCTCTCTCTCTCCTCTCTCTTCTCTCCCTCTCCTCTCTCTAGATAGAGATAGAGATAGATATAGAGAGATAGTAGAGAGATAGATATAGAGCCCCACCTGCCTCCTCAGTTCTCCATCTCCATTGACTCCCCCTCGGAGGTCTACAGCTTCCCGCAGCACATCACCCCCACCAATCTTCGACTGGACATTGTGTGGTGGAGTGACGAGCGTAGGGAGCTATGGCTGTTAGAGCTCACTGTCAGCTACGAGTCTGGAGTGGCTGATGCGAGAGCTAGGAAGGCAGCGAAGTACCACGACCTGGTGGAGGCTGGGAGAGCAGCAGGCTACAGGGTGAAGCTTTTAAATCTAGTGGTTGGATCATGAGGGATGCTGGGCGATGCAGACTTCGACCTGCTACGTGAGGCTACAGATGCACCAAGAAAGGAGTGCACTTCCGCGTGTCTCCTGATTACAAAGAACGACCATTTAGGTTCACTTCTACATCTGGAGCTCTAGGAACCATGTTACCTGACTCACCTGACTTCATCAATTAGCTTCTGTATGTATGTATGTTAGTACTAGTGAGGCCAGGTCAATGCGCGGCACATTCGTCATGTGCCTAGAGCTTTGCCTAAGTGAACCTAACACCTCATTGTTTGTTTGTTTGTATACGCAAAACAATGAGTTTTACACACACACACGAGAGAGAGAGAGAGAGAGAGAGAGGGAGAGAGAGAGAGAGAGAGAGACTCACCTTTACCAATCTCCTACAGCTGATGGGTCAGAGCCGACTGAGTAGATATCGCCAGTCAATCTACAAGCCCACTCTCAGATCCCAGCTTCAACCTGTCCGTATTAGGAACTTTAGGGCGACTGTATGAGGTGGCCCTTGTTCGCAGGAGGCAATCTGGTTGTCAGCTCTGAGATAGGGATAGGTGAAAGTCACAGTTTATATAGGCTGCTATATACTCAGCACTTGATGGACCTCTAGCTGAACTGCATGTTTACTAGAGTGGGTTTGGGTATGCTCTGTCTATATAGCAACGTGGCATCCTTGTTCTTAATTATCACAGCTATAAAGCTATTATACATACCTGGAGAATGTGTCAACAGAGCCCATTAAGGTGCATTTTCCTAGCTAAAACAGTTCTTTAGTGAATGGCTATTGTAAGAATAGAGTGTCAATCAAGAAACAGCAGCTTCTATAAGTTAGTTGTTAGGTGTAGCTATTATGAATATACCTAACGAAAAATAGAGGACTAAGATGGACATTGCTTTGCTGTGGCACTTTGATCAGGCTATGGTAGTAAAGCATGTTATCTATGCTTTAGGTATTACCATGCAGTGACTGTACATAGCATACATCACTCTTGGTCCTATTGACTCTGAGCAAAGGTACATCTTCCCCCCTACATATACGTGTGCAACATGCACACTATTTATTCCCGGCTGTCTTGTAACATAAAAGTATAACATCTAGCTATGTAGAATGTGCAGGTGAACAAAATACCATTTCACAGTATGTGATTTATGTTACTTGACAGCCAAGAAAATATTATCACACAAAGCCTAGTGTAATGGAGCTATACTTCATGCAGTGTGCATTTCCTGCTCAAGTATAGAGCCCCTCCCAGAGAGAAGAGAAGAGAAACAAACCAAATGAGGGAGTGGGAAAGGGGGCTCCAGATATATACAGCAAGCGTTTATTTTCCTAATCAAGTGTCCTTAGAGAATTCTGTGGGTGCTGTGGTAATGTTTCACCGCATAAGTGGAGTTGTGTGCTATTATTATAGGAGTGTCTCATTGTATTTTGGTAAGGGCAGGTTCCTCACAGGACTAGACTTAACTGGTCCGGAGTATGTAGCCATTAGCGAACGATTACTATGGGACTGATGGTTATAATACGGTCAGGGCTACAAATACTACCTGACATTATAACAGCAACCTTCCACATCAAAATACCTCTTTGGTAAGATGGTGGTAGTAGGATACAAGTTCTATATTGGAGGGGGTGGGTAGGAAGTTTGGGTGACATAGCTACCATTTATTACTCGAGTACAGTAGGACTAAGAAGGTCCTCAGCTGAGGACAATAGTAACTCCAATTGTGTTGTTTGGCAGGTCAGCAGTTGATAACGATAGTTGGTTGATTGGACCCAAGACCTGGTGGTCCATCTCAGTGCTCGGCAGTACATGGACACAACCTTTTCCCCAGTGCCAATGGCTAGAGAATTAACAACAGGCCACCAGAAGTGGATTGTTGAGGTTGGTGAATCGACCGGCATGGAACAAAGTTTTGGAAGTGTGCTGATACCAGCTCACAGACATTACCACTACTAAAGAGCCCAACTTGTCACTTTGCTGTGGTTGCAGTACACTATGTGGGTGATCCTACACACAAACCCTCTTTCTTCATTCTATCAAAGGCCTTGCTTCATGCACTGGTTGTGAATGCATATCCTTCGAAAATTAGAGATTTCCTGGGTGTAGTTGACTTTTTGTTTTGCCTTGGCCTTCGACCTCATTTGGGACACATTCTGTTTTCTCCCGAAGAACTTATGGTGACCGGCTGTGTTAAAAATGGAGGCTTCAGATAATATGATAAATAACAAGCTGACCTGCTTTGTAACTACACAATTATAGGATATTATCACTATACTAGTTTGCATTCTTTTGCGCATATCTGGTGCTCACGAGACACAATTGCGCAAACTCTAGCGCGAAAGTTTGGCACAGTATGATGATGTGTGATAGTATTGAGTTTGAGGAATGTGGGAGTGTATATAAGGGCTAATTTTAGCAATGTTAGCTAACAATGGGGCGAGAATGCTATTAAGTTTCTGTTTTCTGTAGCAAAACTTTCTGCATTTAGCACGTCAACCATCCTTCTCTCCCTTTTTAATCCATAGTTCAGCATTTTGCTGATCCTTTTATCGTTACTATGAAGCAACAAAAAGTAATACTATTAATTTTACAATCCTAGTCAAATAAAAGATAATGCTAAAATATTTCTCAAATTGTGATACTATTTGGAATGTTCTTGGGGGACATATAGATGTATGGCACATCAAGACCTTCATTCCTCTTCTTAATCATCTCATAAATTTGCTTGAGTTTAACGTCAAGCTCCTTCACAGCCTGCTTTGCTCTTTCTTCAACAAACTGCTCAGGAGGGTATGCTCCCAAGTAAATCTAAGAGAAAGTACATATATTTTGTCCGATTATGTTTGTGTATTGTGTGTGCATTGTATAGAAGAGGTTGGAACTCGTTGTTTTATGCAAGTGTACAGAAACTCTGAATTACTGGAAGTCAGCAAAAGTTAGGATGGCCGTTTCTTCAACACTGGAACTCACAAGTACAGATCAGAAAGCGCTTCATTACATTCACTAGACAGGGGCGACCCATTTCTCTTTCAATTAACTACCTACCCCCCACTTAGAATGTAAGCCCGGTCTTACAGCAATCTTGTGCAGTTTCTGAGTTCAGGATTATGTCAATGTTATCATCCAACACCCTCTGGTGTGTGTGCATGCAATGAAGTTAGTACCACAAGTCTTACTTACTAGTATATAGCATGCTGGCAGATATTAAAGTCGTGCAGATACATTTGTAGCTACCTCACTAATGTAATATCTTACAAGAGCAAGTGCTTAGGAAGCACTGGCAACTTTAGATGAAGTCAAAGTTAACATGCAGTATATAGCATGCTGGCAGATATTAAAGTCGTGCAGATACATTTGTAGCTACCTCACTAATGTAATATCTTACAAGAGCAAGTGCTTAGGAAGCACTGGCAACTTTAGATGAAGTCAAAGTTAACATGCAGTAATTGGTTTATGTGCAATGTATATACTCCTTCTGGCAGAATGAAGCTACTCTAAGCACAAGAATACCTAGTTCTGCTGTATGCACTGCTGTTTCATGTTTTTGCTATTTTATTTCTTATTGCTTAATACTGATATGTTTACCTCATCTGGGGAATAACCTGAGAGAAGACTAACAAGAACATTAGTGGCCAATGTTTCCTCCTTGTCTGGAAGAGAATCCATTAGATCCTTGAACTTGAGTTTCCCCTTTCTTGTTGGAGGTGGTTTATGCAGAACAAACGGAGCATTGGGAACAAAACTGTAGTAGGTGTATTGACCAAAATTGACAGCAGCATGTTGAGCTGATCCAGTAAACATAACAAGGGTGCAAATCTGAACTAGTTCGGCCTTAGTTGCAATTGAAGACGGAAACTCATGACCAAGAGATCCCCCATATGCAGGGAAACCATTGAAATGGACATCATTAGCAAAACTTTGCAACTCTTCATCTTCACTAACTGATGCATCGTTGACATAGAACATGTCTATAATTTCAGTGACATAAGACTCAATAGCATCCCAAACCCGATATCCGTCATCGCGATAGTAATAATGAGGTAGTTTGCTTGCGTCATCAACACCTCGTTCTTCAGTATTATGTTTGATGTTACTCCAATGAACAGAATATGCTGTTCCACATCTTTTAAAAACTTCTAATTCACCATCGGCACCAACAGAAAATGTCCTTGCAAGGATTCCTGTTGCGTTGATTAGCGACTCCCTGGCCTTTCTATTGATAGCCATCGTGTAGCGAACGTGTGGCCGCAGGAGCTTGTAGACTGGGTGGGCATTTGGAATATTGCGCATGAGCCCCATTGAGTATGTTTCCATCACAGCGTGGCAGGTGAGGTAGTGACTGCTAATCTCGTGAAACTGAGTAATAATATAAGGCGGCATTATTGGATGGCCATGGGCTAGCTACCTGAGGCATTGGTCAGACCTTGCGTGATTGGCATGATATTAGGCTCATAATATTATGCCAGAAAAGGCTCATAGTAATGTCTATATTCTGTTCTCCATGTCAGGCGTTGCCATTCAAAGATGGCTAAATTGACTGTGTGCTTTGTTAACATGTTTCGGTTTTCATATGATATTTACAGAAAGCATATTGGCCATTTCCTTCTGAAGCAGTAATTCTGGCTAGTGCATTCCTCAAACATGAAAATTATACTATACTTTGTTAAGTGTATCTTGGCATAGGAATGCTGAAATAAGATAAACAAATTTTCAAGCACCGACAATTAATTAGAGGAATAAACAATTGCATTGCAGTCGTCTACTTATAACGCAACTGTACTATTACAGCTATACTGGAGTGGCTTGGTGTAAGCTTTAAAATAACGTCGTCTTCCCTTGACTACTGCATTGTCTGCCGGGTCTGTCGTGTTCCAGCCACCATGTTTTCTGACTGGAAGAGAGATTCTGAGGACAGTCAAGCTATGTAAGAGGATGAACCTCTGCCTACAACACTGTAGTATATGCATTATAATCTGGAAGAAGAAAGGGTGTGAGTTAGCGAGCTGACATTTCTAGGTTGTATGAGTGTGCTGGGGTATCTCTTTGTACAACCCCCAGAGGCTCTACTACAGGAAAAGCACAAGAGACAAGAGCAAAAGTAGCTAACCTTAGCTTTAAAATTCCCTGAGGCACTTTCCATTGTTAGCTAGAGGTGTTTTCTTATTGGACTCAGCTGAGAGGCTGTCTTGCAACCCACCCAGTCAGAACAGCGTGTTAGGACTGGAATCCGATATGGGTGCAGGTGGAATTAGTGTTCGAGTAGAGGTCATGCAGAGCGATCTGCCTAGATCACTCTCTGTGTTTTATGCTCGTGTCATTATAGCATGAGTCTTGTGTTGCTATCAGCCTTACATCATAGGATAGACATGGCAGGTGTGCTCCTACATACTGGAGATATTAGTCAAAAATAACGCTTCTATTTGTTCTGTTAATGAGATAGTGGGTCCGAACAAGAAGAAAAAGATGAAGAATACTAATTGTGACGATGATGACGAAAATCGTAGACTCGCGTAAGAGTGAATTCTCGCACAGAGAACTGAGCACACAATCTGAGCATGTGTATAGTTAGATACTGGCCTGTAGACTATCACCAAGTTTTGAAATGTTTTGTAAGCAGATCACATGAGATTTGACCTGTGCCATCCATATAATACAAGTGGCCAAATCATTTCTTCAAAATGTATGGGGATATAGGGATGGCTTGAAGCACCAAAAAGGAAGAAACAAAAGGGTCATTACACAGCAAAGATGCACAAAGCTACATGACACATCCCTATTTCTTTGTCTCATATTAGACTTTGCTTATAAACAATAAAACAAAGTTATAGGGATGGTGTCATGTAGCTTTGTGCATCTTTGTTGCGTAATGACCCCTTGTTAACCCTCGGCGCGCATGCGCAGCGAGGGTTACAGTACTTGGTCTGTCGGTCTGTCTGGCTGTCTGTCCGCGCGAGTTCTCGCACTACAGACGGCCAATGAATGGCACTAACGGGTTGTGAACAACGAAAAGATGGATATAACGTGGCGATTTTCCTCAAACAACTGCGTTCCAGAGATATGGTGTGAAAACAAGCGAAAAAGCCAACGTGCGGTCGATCGCGCACGCGCCCTCTCCGTCAGGCTATAGCGCGCACGCGTCATGTAAATATTTCGCCGGAGCATGCGCTACGCCACGTTGGGTGTACGATCCACGAGCTTCTGTCAGTTTTGATCTCTGTTCTCTTTGTTTTCAGTTGATAAACATAAACATGCAGAGCAAGGTACGTTCGCACTGGAGCATAATAGTTCAGGTGGCGAGCAGTTTGTAGATGCGGCCATACCTTCCCATCTATAAAACGTCTGGCGAGAGTATTGAAACACAGAAATACGGATAGATTGCAAATATGAGAGCCTCTGAAACACCCGAGCAATTGCTCTAACCACTAATGCAACTACCCTGTGTTACGGCGAGACTCGTGTTACTGGCTCCGTCGATGACGCATGGCCCTGCAGACAGCGATGATACACAAGTCGCGCGTTTAGCGCCGAGGGTTTGCACTTTAGTGCTTTTCATTTCTTCCTTTTTGGTGCTTCAAGCCATCCCTATATCCCCTTCATTATGAAGAAATGATTTCTCCACTTGTTTCCACTAATTTTCTTTGTTATATACAGTCACTGTGATGTTCATGGATATGTTGTAGATAGGCTACCATAGACAAACTCTAACTGTTGAAAGCAGTAGATAGTGCCGGAAGCAGGGGCTAAATAACAGCATTCATCTCATGCATTGTCTTCAACAAGGATGTAATTAGGTTATTGCACATGGTAGTGGTTTCATGGGCAGGCTTTGGTAATCAGGCTACAACCTGGGCGTGGGGCGGACAAACAACGAAGGGCCATTTGAGCGCCCTGCAGAAAGGCTCGCGTAACACCGCGCAGACTCTGCCAAGTTCCAAGTTGCTCCTCGTGCAAATCAACAGGGGAAATGTGACACTTGCCTACAGAAGGCACTGGTGGAGGCTGAGAGTTCCTCTGCAGGTCAGTCAACTCGCTTGGTAATACGCTCGCACAGCGCGCATTGGACAACGTCTCTGCCTAGCTCATGCGCGCGGCTCATTGATGCTTAGTTAGCAGCAAATGGCGTTGTTCAGTGTCGACCATCGAAGAGCTCCATGATCTACCGTACTGACTTGCGGCAAGCAAGAAACGATCGCTTGATGTCTGTGCACACCTCTGACGAATTTGGAGACGTTCAATGAAAAAATCAGCCCTTCAACTTGTTCCAGCAAGGAGAAAGCGGGCAAGTAGATGAAGAATATGAAAATCGTGAAATCGCGTATGAGCGAATTCTCGCGGGGACGACTGAATGTGCGTGTGAGGTATTTGGGAACATATATAGGTAGATATGGGCCCGTAGACTATTGCTAGTGTGTGTTGAAGGCCTACCGAGTCATTCTCACCGAGTTTTTAGCCATTTTGTACGCAGATCACGCGAGATTTTCACTCGTGCCATCCCTATATAGAGAGTCTACCGACTCTCTCATAAAGCATCTACCAACACTTTTTATATAGAAAGTTTCACTGTGAGAGAAGCTTGGGTTCGCCATTGGTAAAAGATCTCTCAATAAAATTATCCCTGGTTCTCGGCAAGGGCACCCATTATGCCATGCCATGCTAGCTCTAGCTCCCTAATGCTGTTGCCCACATTTCGTGCAGTCTGTGTCTGTCTGTTCACCATCACTGGCACCATACGCTAGCTCACAACATAATTTCATAATGTCTTACCTAAGTAAGCTCTTATTAACCCTCGGCGCGCATGCGCAGCGAGGGTTACATTGGTCTGTCGGTCTGTCTGTCTGTCCGCGCGAGTTCTCACATTACAGGCTACGAGGCGACCAATGAGTGGCACCAACGGGTTGTGAACAACGAGAACATGGATATTAACTTGGCGATTTTCCTGCAACGACTGCGTTCCAGAGATATGGCGTGAAAACAAACGAAAAAGCCAACGTGCGGTCGATCGCGCACGCGCCCTCTCCGGCAGACTATATAGCGCGCACGCGTAAAGTCAATTTTTCGCCGGAGCATGCGCTACGCCACGTTGGTTCTGTCAGTTTTGATCTCTGTTCTCCTTGTTTTTTCAGTGGATAAACATGCTGAGCAAGGTATGTTCGCAATGTGGATGCGGCCATACATTTCCATCTATATAAAACGTCTGGCGAGAGTATTGAAACACAGAAGTACGGATAGTTTGAATAAAGCAAATATGAGAGCCTCTGAAACACCTGAGCAATTGCACTAACTGCTAATGCAACTACCCTGTGTTACGGCGAGACTCATGTTACTGGCTCCGTCGATGACGCATGGCCTAGCATAGCGATGCTACAACTCGCGCGTTTAGCGCCGAGGGTTTGCACTTTTGTGCTTTTCATTGTTGAAGCATCACTGTAGTCCTATTTACTTTCTCTATTTTCTATCTAAGTAGTACATGAGCTGTTCAGTTTTCATGGGCCCAAAGCCAGTCAGACGGTGGTTATATATACCTGAACTTAACATCAGAAAATATGCTTCAGTGGGAGACTATTGTAAAGCAAGAGTTCTAACGGCTCACAAGGAGGCTCACAGACATATTGAGTTAGAGCGGGGGCTGATCGTTGTCCGTTAAATAAATTTAACAAAGGGCATATTAAGCTTGGATGATAGCTTGTAGGCATAATATTGCTAGCTACACAAGATCATGCTCATTGCTCATGAACTACCTAGCCATTCTACCTGAAACGTGCATGCTAGGGCAGCTCTTCTTTTTCCTGGGTGCAGTTGACTTGTTTACATTGTCTTTGCCTTGCTACCTCGTTGTTGGCACATGCATTCATTAACTACCAGTGCTAAATATTTTAGAAGGCACAGAGCAAACATTGTTTGCGGTTTATGCTAGCTGGAGCAAACAGCTTCCAAACCTGTGAATGAGATGACATGTAATATATTTTTGCAGTGAGCCAGTCGACCCATCCATCAGTAGGCAGAAAGATTGGGTGATCTTTAGGTTTCTGCCCCAGCTGAATGGCAATTGGCTTCAACTGACCAGCTCCATTCACGTGAAGCAGACACAAAGGAGCTGACAGTAGGCCCCTTCTTTACATGGAACACCGTCCATGATTTTAAGATCACAGATATACACATGACCAGCCTGTTGATTAAAGACAGGAAGAATAATGTACTCCATTACACACACACACACACACACATTGATGCCAAAGTGCACACTGCTGCTTGTATTCCTTTGTGAATGTACATTCCTGCAAGTAATCTTTATGCAGAAATATAATTATGATACCTTCATCGCTTGTGCCAAAGTCTCTCCACGATCAAGTAGACCTTTAACCATCTTGTCGGTAACTGGAAAATTGTCCAGAGGGGAATCGTATCGTTGAATGACAACTGGATTCACTCCATTCATAATCTGTCGCCCAAACTCAACGTCGGATGTCCACCGACCGAGTTCAGAGACACGGACGTCGGACACTGGGTGTAGCTTGGCCATTTTCTCATATTCAGACATTGTCTGCTTTTAGTGATTATAATGACTTCCGCTGCATCAATGGTGTCAACGGCTCCTGATTTATAAAAATCGACATTTTTGACAAACTCAAAACCTTCCTCGGTTGGTAGCGGGAATTTATCGTCAAAGGAAGATGGAAGGTGGGCTAATTGGTGTGTCATCCAGGGGTAACTATCATGTCGTTTTTGGAGCTGCATTTCTCGATAGCGCACTAGAACTGGGTTGTTCTTTACATCTTGAGGCAAAGCTGTGCAAAAGAATGATTAACTCTGGAAAATTCATTTCTGGAAAAGGCACACAGTTACTAATTGTTCTTATACACAAAAATGTCTTACTTATGCTTTATTATAATAAACAAATGAAATACAGTTTCTGCCTGAGAGAAAGAGCTCCTGAAGAGCTGATTGGTTGTGTATAAACTGAACCTTTTGCACATGATATCTAAGGAGGCACACTACTCCTACAACCGTGATGTTTTCGTGTCAATAGTTTGTACATTTGTGCGTGGGCGTATGTTTCAGATATTTTTTTCAATGGCACAGCAAAAACGCTGGTGATTTATGGTGAATTTATGTATATTTCTCGGATTTTTCCTACCTTGTTTTCTAAACTCATTAGCATATTCATATTCCTCCTCAATCTATGGGAGGGAAAACCCGTGCGCGACTCGCCAAGGAGCGAACGGCCCGTCTACATACGCCCACGCACAATCGTTGCTAATCAAACACAACTGCAGGTTAGAAATGTTACGTGATTAGTTTTGCTAGCAGTTAGAACTCACTTGTAGCAGATGAGAAGGAGATTGAATCATTGTTGCCAAACCAAAAGTAGCACGGAAAAACTTGCTTCTGGAGTGGATCAAAAGTGTAAACTTCAACAAAGTCGACGTACCATTGCGGTATCCAGGATGCATTTTTATGTAATTGCACCACCAACACTTCCCCTAAACTTCCATCACACTCGTCAAGTCAAAATAGCGTCTGCTATCTTTATGGAATATGTTATGGAATATGTCAAGCCAGCTTAAAACACTATCTCCACTAGAAACAGCTTCACTTCCAACAAGAGTAATTTTAATATTTCCATCGCGGACAGAACTGTCAGCTGGGTTGCCTGTCACAATCCTTACACCATAGTAGCATTGTCCATCTACAGAAGGATATAATACATACTAGTGGAAATGCTTGGCATTTCTAGCGAGCGGAGCGAGAACTGAAGTATAATCATTCAACCATCATCATTACTAGCGATAATATAGCTATGTACGTACAGGTAAAATGTTTCAGCAAGTAACAGAAGTTATTATGGTGTTGACATAATATTGGGTTGAGTAAGGCAGCTTGCGCATACGTAGCTAGTGAAACTAGACCAGAAGAAAGTAGCAACGGAAAGGTAATGTGCCCATACCCCCTCTCCATCTCTTAATCGTCGCTGAAAAGACAAGCCTCTCTGTCGTGAGGACTTTCGACGGCCGAGCATACATAGATAGAAAATTCGAGCCGAAGACACGATTCTCTGTATGTTTTTCTTAGACTATCCTCCGCAGATGAATCTATCTCCTTCGAAGCCAACTGGACGGACTGTAAGAGGATGGAGAAAAAATTCCGCACAGTATGTCGTAGCGCGTAATATTAACGCATGCGCACTAAGAAGACGACGGTGCGTCGTATAGTTGATAAATAAACCATTTTCTAAACCACTCCGCATTACCACCAAATATTATTGGCCCAGCTACAGGCTACGAGGGGCGTTATACTCTAGCTTCAGAGCTAATAGCAGGGTTTGACAAAAAGAGAATTGATATGATGTTATTAAGCAGGAGTGACATCGATTGGTTAACCCTAGGCATGTGCATGCGAAGTGACGGTACTTCGTTTTTGTGTCTTTCTACGGTGTAGCAGTAACTCACAATGGCAGAGAACAGTGAGTCGTAATTAAGATTTGATATTCAGATGGTGACAGTGAACCCCCGTTTTGTGGATAGCAAACATAGTGGTGATCAAATTGGCATAGGGACCGTAAACTATAAGCGTAACACAAAATCATGCTAGTGTCTCGTTCTGGCCTCCAGCACTACATCTTCCTTCTATTGGGCTCCCCTGCTGATTCGAAAATCTGACTTCAGGGCAATTTATCCTCAGGGTTTCCTTCAACCACTATTATTCTATATACCACTATGCTCTATGTACTAGTTAAAGCACCGTCGCGAGTATACTACGGGAATTATTGAACGAGGATGTGGTCGAGAAGCTGATAAGGCACGAGGCGTAGCCGAGTGCGTTATCAGGCTTCGAGACCACATTCGAGTTCAATAATTCCGTTATATACGAGCGTGACGGTGCTTTAACGGTTTGTTGCTGGTTTTGCCCGGCTAATCGAGGATACTGCCGTAGTCTCCGCCACGCTGTAGCGTCGGTCAGCAACGGAGGGTGAGGATCGAGGAGAGCCTCGCTGACGCTGTCGGGTTATAGAAAACGCACCAGATTTTGACTTTTTCCCGAGGGTTGGAATGATGTCAGTGACCGTGTCCGAAGCTGCAGCTACGTCTCCACTCCTGTGACTCCACCTGCTAAGAAAGCGAAGGCTCTCACTGTCTCTTAAAAAGGGTGGTGGTCGAAACGGGGCCCACTAAAGAGATATTCTAACCAGCGTTGTGAAAGAAAAGGGATTAATGCCGTTGCTAAGGAGTGGTTCTAGCAACACGAAGCAATGACAATCGGTGGCCTGTCGTGTCTACGAATCGTGGGCGAAGCAAAGAAACGAGAGGGAGGGCTGTACGGAGAAGGTGCCAGAGAATCTTTTGGTCAGCGAAGTGGAGTGAATAACAACCTTCAATTTCTACTCCAAGTAACTTTCTGGACTGGCTTGTGTCTAGACACTAGTAGTGCTGAGTCCTTGTTATGTTATGTAACATTGTAGTAGTGTTTTGTTAAGAACAATGGCTTTTACCACCATGCTATATTTTCCAGTAGTTCCCTATATGGAATTTATAGAACGGGCGGCGCCTTTGATACGCCCACGCAAAACGCTACAACCTCTGTTATAGGATTTTCGATGGGCATATGAGTGGACCAAAAGGTAGTGAAGGAATGTACAACTATGAAATACAGAGCACACCAAAACGATCTTAATGTCTCTCGGCCTCTGGGAACTTCCGAATTGGGGAATATTGATAGTAGCTACCACACATAGTTCTCAACAAGTTTGGGCAAATTATAATATTACTAATTTTTTCTCCTGGCTTTTCTGATAATTATCAGCACTGTGGAGTTGAAAGTACTTAGTCACAATTATTGTGATACACTTTTGTTTTCCCCCAAAATAGTCCCGCATGCTGTAGCTAATATACTTTTCCCCCAAATATAAGGAAGTATCCTACAAAGTGTGGATCTATAATATAATAGCTGTGTAGCTATGCATGGGGAACTAGATGTGTAGGCTTACCGCTAACGCCCGAATGGGAAATGGGTTGTGTCTGGGAGGATTAATCTGGGTCTCGTTAAGTGTAATAAATGCTAGGTATATATTTTAACAAGGCCCCGCCCACAGTTTATTCACAGAACTGTCAGCTGGGTTGCCTGTCACAATCCTTACACCATAGTAGCATTGTCCATCTACAGAAGGATATAATACATACTAGTGGAAATGCTTGGTATTCTCTGGGCGAGCGGAGCGAGAACTGAAGTATAATCATTCAACCATCATCATTACTAGCGATAATATAGCTATGTACGTACAGGTAAAATGTTTCAGCAAGTAACAGAAGTTATTATGGTGTTGACATAATATTGGGTTGAGTAAGGCATCTTGCGCATACGTAGCTAGTGAAACTAGACCAGAAGAAAGTAGCAACGGAAAGGTAATGTGCCCATACCCCCTCTCCATCTCTTAATCGTCGCTGAAAAGACAAGCCTCTCTGTCGTGAGGACTTTCGACGGCCGAGCATACATAGATAGAAAATTCGAGCCGAAGACACGATTCTCTGTATGTTTTTCTTAGACTATCCTCCGCAGATGAATCTATCTCCTTCGAAGCCAACTGGACGGACTGTAAGAGGATGGAGAAAAAATTCCGCACAGTATGTCGTAGCGCGTAATATTAACGCATACGCACTAAGACGATGACGGTGCGTCGTATAGTTGATAAATAAACCATTTTCTAAACCACTCCGCATTACCACCAAATATTATTGGCCCAGCTACAGGCTACGAGGGGCGTTATACTCTAGCTTCAGAGCTAATAGCAGGGTTTGACAAGAAAGAGAATTGATATGATGTTATTAAGCAGGAGTGACATCGATTGGTTAACCCTCGGCATGTGCATGCGAAGTGACGGTAGCTACTTCGTTTTTGTGTGTCTTTCTAACAAGAAGTGCCGAATATTTAGCATGCACGAAGCATCTGCGGGTAGATTACATGGTTACACCACTCCTCCTTTCGGATCAACTGAGTGTACGGACCAATCGCGTAGCGACTTCCGGCGACTCGCAAATCACTCGCAATTGTGCGCGCCTGTCCAAATAAGGCCAAGTCCACTCGATGCCGCGTCAGCAAGCCAAGAAAAAGGCAAGATGGCAGGGTCGGCTAACCGCGAAGGAATGTCCCCGACTTCCGTGGACTTAGACCTTCGTGGAGAGAGAGTAGTATGTATATACATTGAGCTAGCCCTGGACCGTCCGCCGCCCTGGTTTGTATATAACAGCACCGACTTTGGATGATTTTGCCCAGCACAACGACAGTTGATCTTCAGTCAAACTAACAGGAGCGGAATGTAGGCCGGCGCTCTTTCTTTTACTAGGGCAAATGTACACTAGGGCAAAATCATCCAAAGTCGGTGCTGTGACAAACCAAGGCGGCGGACGGTCCAAGGCTAGGTTCCGCTAGCTCAATGTATGTACTACTCTCGCTCCACGTAGGTCTAAGTCCACGGATATCGGGGATATTCCTTCGCGGTCAGCCGACCCTGCCATCTTGCCTTTTTCTTGACGAGTGGACGTGGCCTTATTTGGACAGGCGCGCACGATTGCGAGTTATTTGCGAGTCGCCGGAAGTCGCTACGCGCTTGGTCCGTACACTCCCTCCTTTCCAGGCTTACTTTCTGCCTAACATTTTTCTGGAGCGCTAAAGCAGGCACAGAGACTGTCCCGAATTAGTTCTTTACCCAGTGCGTTTACTCACTGCTTGACTCGGCAGAGAAGGACGACTGACCGCGGTAGTTTTTAGGCGGTTCATAACCATCTCATATGCGTACTTTTCGCTAGGGACGCCTGCAATGGTGCAATCGTCGAGCGTTCGGTCCGATCAGCTAAAAATGGCGTGGGTCCACAGCCGTGCCCAAATATGGTCCGAAAAAGATGATGCAATCCGCGGGTGTTTCCGCCTAGTAGACGTGGTATAACTATACTTTAATCCCAGTGTTCAACACTACAGTCCCAGTGTCAGATAGCATCTGAGGAACTGCAGGGTGTCGTGGGTGAGTTAAGGTGTCTGGGAGGCAAGACAGACAGTAGTAGCTCTATGTCTATGTTCATGTCCTATTGTTGCTCTGGGTGTGTGGTCAAAAGGTAAGGACTGTAGACATCAATCCCATTTCCTGGAATGCACTTTTACAACATCAGAATTTGAGCACTTCCTGCCCCTTTCCCACTTCTGGCAAGCTAGGGGTCAGTTGCTGTTATATACCTGTCTAGAAACAGACGACAGACTCTAAATGCTTTGTTATTGTTCTATGTTTAATCATGGACAGAGACAAATTAATACCAGGAGCTTCTTCTCTCTCCATGAAAAGTGAAAATTTCTGATTATGACCATAATAGCTATAACCAGAGTAGCTACGTACCTCTATGTGTCTGTGGATGCAGATCAAATGGTGGTAAAGAACTGCTAGATGGATGAATGGAACTGTAATCATGGCTTTGTTCCTGTTGTATGCGACTAGAAACCTCCGGAAGATTATGATGTTGACTCATCTGAATATTATGGAAAACACTTTGTACAAACACAAACAACACAAGCAAACTTTTGACCTATTTGTGCTAAGCAAGACAGCTAGCTATACACGTATAAGAGCGGAACCACAATAACCATCATGACATCTGCAAATAACCAGTAATTTCCATACCAAATTCACAATCAAAGAATATGAGAAGGTAAACTAACCTCTATCACCACGATAAACTGCTTTTGTCAGGGGCGTTGCGAAGAAAGCGTCGCGAGAAGAGAGAGATTCAGGGGGTGGCAAATTTCGCCAAACGCACATGCAGAAATAACTATGTGCAGCGAAACCACAGGGACGATTTTGTAGTAGGATATTTCCTGGGGCCCTAATGGTTGTGCGCCGCAAAGATCTCGTGATACGTTACGTCATACGCTAGCACGACTCTGTGGCCATAATTATACGCGTGCACGACCTCTGACCTGTGTACACGTGCATGGAGGACTTACGTAGAGCATAATTAACCCTTGGCGCCCATGCGCTAGAGGGTTATAGTAGTTGGTCTGTGTGTCTGTCTGTCTGTCTGTGTGTCTGTTACCACGTTTTCTGCCACCACGCGCAACAAACCGGCCAAAAAGCGACACCAACGGGTTCAGCGCTACGCTGGCTTCGTTTCGTAAAAGTACCCCGCTCAAGAGTTATGGCGTGAAAAAGGCAATATGCTAATGAGTAGCATCACCACGGCTTACCTCGACCGCTTTTGCACATCGCGGAGGATATAGCGACAATACCGAACACTCCCTACGGTTCCAGATGGCAGCACGAGCATCGACGGGTGGTGAGCGAGCCGGTGGCCAGTGTGAGCGAGGAGGCAAAGGACCGGGAGAGAGCGAGAGCGAGACATGACAATGCGCATGTAGTGCGCGACAAAGAACCGCGCGCGTGATGCATCACAATGCGTATGTGGTGGAACCGTATATTCGCGCGTGTGGGTGTATATGCGTGTGTGTGTGTACGTGTACGGACGCACATTGTCATTGAGCATGCGTATACCGGTATATACCGCGCATGCACAGCTCGCCGTGGGTTTGCACATAAGGTGCTGTGTATGTGTCATGTCACCGCGCACTAAATTAAAGGGGCGTGGTCATACGTGCGCGTACGCGCGTGCCCGCACGTGTAACGCAATCGTGGGGCGTGGTGCTGAGTAGTGTGATTGTGTGAAGAGTTCTGACGTGTGAAGATGCTGATATGAGTGCAGAACCGACTGTTGTTTGGTTCTGGATGGTGAAGTGCCACAGGATTATAAATAAGTGCAGACTCCTAATAAGCGTGCCACTTCAAGGCCACTTCAAGAATACTAATTGATGGAGCATTGAGTGACCAAAGACAGCTGCCATATAGGGATAAACAATAGCATTGAAGCAGAAACGTTTTGACTTGAGGGTCAACAAAGTGAAAAGAACATAGAAGCGAGTTTGCTTTTCGATTTATATCCTTGACAGCCCTCATTATATCTTCAGTATCGTCCAAAGTACTCGTAAAGAGATGACCCAGATGTACAACCTTATCAGAGTAGGATAACTTAGTTCCATTGAGGTAGATGGTCGGAGTGATCGGACAGGACTGATGGGGCATAGAAACATATTAGTTGTGTCTTACTTGCATTGAATTCAAGTTTATGTGAAGCAGAAAAAGAACAACAAATCTCTAACATTTTTCTCATTGCAGAGGCACAAGGAGCCAACAATACAACATCATCAGCATAACTGAACGCACCAGCAAAGGAACAACCCCAGTGACAGCCAACACCAGAATTACACAAATCAACCAACAAACCATCAAGGTAAACAGAAAAAGGTAAGGTGATATGACACTACCTTGACGAACACCGTTCGACACAGAGAATGGCTCAGAAAGGGACAAGTCCCAGCGTACCTGCATCTTCTGCATACTGTACCATGACATTAAAAATCTGACAATTACCAATGGTAAACCACGATTCACAAGAATTTTGAAAAGAATACTGTGATCGACTAGATCAAAGGCTTTGCTAGCATCAAGAAAGCACCCTAAGACCGGAGAACCGTTTTGAATATAACGCGAAACAACATTCTTTACAGTGGCAGAGCACAGAGTAGTCGAATGACCAGGTTTAAAGCCAAACTGTAAGGCACTAGTGGAAAAGAATGGTTCATACTGGTAGAGTATCAGTCTTTCAAGGATCTTGCTGAAGCTAGAGGACAGAGCAATAGGACGGTAGTTCGAGCTATTTGATGCATCCTTGTTCCCTTTAGGGATAGGGACAAGGACTGAATCGCGGAAGCATTGTGGCATATAACCATGACGAAGAATTGCAGTGAAGAGTGAAGTAAGAGGATTAGCTAGGGCAAGTGCAGCAAACTTTATGTGCTCAGATGTAACACCATATGCATCAGATTTATGTGACTTAAGCTGAGAAATTGCCTCAGCAATGTGATCTTCCGATAAAACCACAGAACTTAGATCTGAAACAGTCAGGAGGACTGAATGGAAGATAGAAGTGAGGATCGAGAGGTAGAAGAGTGCTTGTTTAACAAAGTGCTGAACTTTGAAGCAAAATGATTGGCGATATTGGAGCTACCACAGAGTCCATCAACAACAGGTGATGACTGAGGGGTTCTGGAATTGTTCAGCCTTTTGATATCCGACCAAAAGGTTTCCCTCCTATTCATTGCAAACGAATGTGCCAGTCGACTACGCAATCGATATTCCTGTCTACGCTTGAGACGGCGAACCTCGTACTTGTATCTCTTTTTCGCATGTTTCTTTATGGTGGAGAGAACACCAGCTGACGGACATCCAGCTTCAGTCCATATTCTATGCCAGAGAATTGAGGCCTCCTTCAACTTTGCAGCACTGTCGTTCCAGCCATGAACTCTCCGTGAGGATGATGACTTGCTAGGAAAGCAGCAGAAAGCACAATCCAGTAAGGTAGAAACAATGTGGTTCACCAGCAATTAGGGTATAATCACACTGTTGCGACTCAATAAAACCATCTAACTCACCAAGTGTATTCAAATAATCACTAAAACAAGATACATCACCTTCTGAGGGCAAATACACGTTCACCAACAAGACCGATGAACCGGACAACTCACACAATTTAACAGCACAAAATCTATTGGAGTGTGTATACAAAGGTGTGATGCTCGAAGACAATGATTTTCTGTAAAGAATCGAACAGCCACCATATGGCCTACCAGACAACAAAACAGAGTCATCCATGCCACTTACACCAACAGACAAAAAACTCATTGATTTTGTGAAGATGATTACTAATTAACCAATGTTCTTGTACAAAGCAGACATCATAAGAATCGATTAAAGAATTTAGTGTAATCACACCACTATTCCAACCACGACAATTATATGACATCAAACGAAGTGGAGCCATTATGATGTATCATTATCACCCTGGACAATGGTAGAAGAAGATGAGGTAGAGGAGTTGGACTGGGCAGGTGACAGAGAGCGAGAACGGTCAAGAGTGGAGGCACCTAGAGGAACGAGAGTGGGACGAGTGGAAGGACGCTCCCTAGAGTTGGAATCCATATTGGAGGTAGGATTGAACACATTCGATTGTGAGTTACTGCTTTGAGAAAGAGCAGATGAAGAGTCTAGGACGGGAGATTGAACAGACACTTTCAAAGGGACCCTCATACGAAGCTTGTGATCAGGAGGTAGGTCCTCTCGAAGGAAAAGTCGGGGTACTTTAAAACCCTTCAAATTACTCTTGCGGAGCAAAATTACTTTACGATCCCATGGAGTAGTGAGTTTTATCAGTACAGGTCATGGCCGCTGAGAGCCTTGAGCACCCCTGGAACTATCAAACTTTCCAAGCCTAAATACATCTTTTACAGTAACTGTTTTACCAGCAAGAAATTCCAACATTTCATCAACAGATTCCTTTGTGTCAACAATTGACCTAGCTACACTCATCATCCAGGTTTGCAACAAGCTGGCTACGCCGGTCAGAGCCACGACGAGAATGATGTATAAGACCAGCTGCCTCTAGGGGTTGTTTACAATGATCCCACAATAGCCTTTCGCATTTTCAACATCGTCAGGGCTAAAATGCTCACACACCTTTTTTTTTTCAAAGACCCTACATCACCCTTTAGCCTGTACGCCTTAATAAAAGACAGAACAGCATTGATTAACAAAGGCCTAGCAAGATGATGGGATGAGTTGGATGGTGTAAGTGGAGATGCAGACCTTGTGGCGCCTTGGTTATGACCTTGTTGTAGACTACTTTGCACACAATTAGGCTGTGTATCAACATTACATGAAGCATGTTTTGCACCTTGTTTGGGGGGACAAGACAGGCTGTACTCACTCAGAGGTTTACCTGAGTGCATAATTGACTGCCTCCACTTTTTGGTCTTTTTCCCACAATGTGATTCAAATTCAGAGGGGGTATACCAAGATCCTTCCAACAAAATACATTTCCCCAGAGACCGTTTAGACTCATCTAACTTGTCTAGATAGAACCGGGCAGTACAGCTACCACAGCTAACATAGATAAAACAGCCTTGGTTGTCATTTGTAACTGAAGGTTTCAACAGAGGTTTATCCAAAAGACTAGCTGCCATTTCAGACAACAAAGGTCAAAGACAACAAAAAACGACAAAAAAGAACAGCATCAAACAAGCAGCACACACCAACAAGCAACAAACTTGATGGCAGCGGTGATATACGGCGGTCAAGTCAGGAGTAAGGCTCCCTCCGGGACCGTCTGGGTCGCACCTGGTCCACGTCCTATAGATACGGCGTCAGTGTTTCTTCGACCATGCGGCAGCTCCACTACACGTTGCGAGAGCAATATGGTTATACAGCCCGGGCAAATCCCAAGTTGGGTCGCTCCCGCTCGCCAAGAATGTTCAACATTTATACATACCTCGACCGCAGAGGAGGTTGCGCACAATCAACATTCCTAAGCTGTCGGCGCATGCGGTTATAATGCAATCAAGTATCGTAGCTGCGAAAAGAAGTGGATCTCTCGATTGTTTATATGTCCAATTGTGTACCACGGAGAACACTCGTAGCCTTGCAAACGCCAGTGTGCCGTTCTGCAGAAAGTGCTGACTCAGCGGGTTGACTGGGTTGCGTGGGCGAACATACGTCTCTAAGGCGCACGTGATGCAAGCGATGACGCGTGCACAACCTCCTCTGCCTCGACCGGGTCCGCTTGCTCTGTGTATCTTGAAGGCACAAGAAGTCACAACGAAGGGTGTGTATCGACTCTCGCATGCTATTTACTACTGTAGCTA